GAGGTGAGGTGAGGTGAGGTGTTTTCGGGCCTTCGAACTGGACAAGGGCTATGCGTGCTGCACCGTTTCGGTGACGTCGGCCAATCAAAAATCGGTTGTTTGTGTTTGCCGTTATGGCACCGCCTGAAAGTCGAGAAATCCGTTGATTTTCAGGCTGACCTTACGGAGTGCCGGCCAACCGGTCTGTCGGTCGACCGATTACGGTGCAGAACGGTGCTGCTTTTTCAGGGCGGCCATGCGATGGCCAACTTTCTCAGCCGGCCATTTCGGTACGTCGGTTCTTATTGTCAGTAAGAGACCGCAAAAACGACGTGAATCAGTGTGCAATTTCAACGCAACTTCGCCGTTCTCATGGCACAAAAAGCGAATGATGATGAAAATTCATTGAATTCACCTTCCAATGGTCTGTCAATGAGTGCAGCGATTTATTCGCACAATCATTTGACTGCCCGACTCGCTGCCTTCCAACGGTCGCAGAAACGAGGAAGACGGCCGAGGGTCATAGAGGTCAAATTCATATCGACTGACCCCCCAGCCCTCGTCATCCCTCGAAGCTTTTGCCTTCTAGATGTAGTGACCTCCTGAACCACATAAAAATATGAGGTATCTTCCGAGGCTGATTATCGCTGTTATATGTTTTAAAGCAGACCGCAGTGAATTGCCCTCATCGTCCAGATTAGGAGGTGGCGATCGTTCATTCACGCTAGAGGCATTGACGCCGGGTCGAAAGTTTACTTTCGATGAAGTCACTCAACCCACGCGGTTTACTCGAGTCGTTGTAATATCGATTACGTGAGACACTTCCTGAAACATGCATACGTGTACGGCCTGTGAAGCATACTGACGCGGGAGCCACTTCTGCTCATGTACCCCTGCAATGAATCACACGATTTCCTCGTAGCTTTTCGAGAGTGGCGCCAGGAAGGTTTTGCGTAAAACCTGGGGATCAATAGGGTGAGCCGTTGTGTGCCTACTCCCTGACAATAGTCTATGTTCACCTCGATTCCAAGAGGGCCACTGGATTTTTCAGGGAATATAAAATGCCAGTGTGTATGCTGCTTAAAAATCAATATGAATTTAGCCGTAGAGTACCGTCAGTAACTACGTCAAAAGGGACATTTGAAGAGGAGTAATTTTTCCCTCGACCCTGGTTCGAATTCCATTGCCTAGAACTATTGATTTTTTGTTCAATGCCGATCAAGCGCATTCCGCCTATTCAGGAATCTCCAACATCGAAGACGTCATGACCTCCGTCACACTTCGGAATTTGCGAAATCTTGAGGACAGCGACCTATAACAGGGAATTCCTCATCCAACATATTTGCTAAATTACGTTTCCTTAGAGTGCGGCGGAATTCCATACTAATACTTAAGCCAGGCATCCTATATAAAGTGTCTCAAAGCGATATTTCGCAACATGGTCGCAGTGTCTAACGTATGGTATTTTTCTACGCTATGGGGATCATGCATTCTTTTCCCTTTGTATTCTTTCTATGCGGCCTAATTTTATTTTATTATAGAGTCAAAACCGAGTACATGATATGTTGAAAACCAAATGGTCAACAATGACTTGCTATCGTTTATTATATTTGATCTAATATCACTATCTGCGTTGCACTGATCGTTTGGTCATCCCTCCGTTACTCGTGATAACTGCCTAAATTTTTTACAAAAGTAATCATGTTAGAGTATTATGGCTTATCGATCGTCATAATCTTCAAAAGTTTACACCGCACAAACATTTCATTAAATAAACGTTTTAGACCAAGGGACATAACAGAGCAGTGAGTGAAACATACGGGAACAAAGAATAAAACAGACAAACTCACCTATGAATTATTAATTATTACAATCAATCATTAGGTTTTCTCTGCATCTGCTGTCACACAATGTCCCCTGAAGACGGATTTGACCCGATCTGATGCGTGATGATTTTGTTTAATGGAATTTGAATTCGGAGTAAACCCTTGAAGATTTTGGCAACGAAAAACCAATCACTGGCTCATGAAAAAATCAGGCAACTCATCGAAACACGATTTCGTGGTCCGCGGCATTTGCCTTTGATCCAATAAAAGCATAGGGAATGATTTCGGCAGACGAGAGACCTGTCAGAGCGAACCACAGCGCATAAGTGTATCTGGTATCGTTTTTCTTTCTGCAAGACAATACATTCCTAGAAGCAACTATACCATTGCTACATTCTTGACTCAAATGATCTAAGGCGTAATCGTCTAGCTGATAGAACAATGCAGAATCGATCCAGCACTCAAGGTTCTTACCATTGACGCGAAATCATGGCATGGCCTTCTTGCAGTAACCTAGGGTATCTAGGATTAACGGGCGCTGTTTACATATCAATCAATCAGATTTGTTACGGGATGCAAAGGTAAAGATATTGTTATCAAAAAAATGATCAAATAAAAATTTTATGGAAAAAAGATAATACATAAAACAGCATTCAAAGCATACGTATCTTTGTTCTTGGTGCCTCATGGCTAGACTATTTGACATCAGCTTCCTCCCTCTTCCGGTTTCCCGAAAGCCCAGGTGAAAAATGGCATGATTCACGGGTGATATATTTTTTTAGGAGAAGGCATGGCCTTAAATCTGCTCTGAGTTTCCAGGTTGTCAACTACTGCTGGCTTAATGTACTTTGTGTGCTAAAGGTGGTTAAAGTCGGTGAACAGCATCTGTTCTGCATTACAGGTCGTTGTGATTGTTGTACAAGGCAATTCACGCTTCATGTCTGTTGTTCAGTACGTGCTAACTAGAATTTTCAGAAGCTGCATTCTTATCTACAGTATTACTGAATCACATCCAGAATCTTTACTGATCACGGTAATTAATAGCTTGTATGAAGGGGTTATCTTGAATCTCTCATTTTCTTTCGACTCCTTGAATTTCCAGCCATCGTCATTCAGGAATATGGCAAGCGTAGTACCTTTGTAGGGAAGATTGCGTGATTTCTTCAAGGATTATGATGGATATTGACCTCAATTCTTGTTTCAAGTGCCATCCTGTCAAACAGGTTTATATGAGGTAAACGTGAGAAAATCCTTCATCCGAATTTTTCATGTTTTGTTAAGCTCCCGTTTCTTGGTTAAGGATAGGCTTCAAAATGAAGCGCTCGTTCCCTGCGTTGGTAGTGACAACTGGAATGCAGTGCAAAACGTTTTCTTTATACAGAGGCCATACACTTGATTTGTCGGGTGACGGGTCAACGCCCACTCGTCGCATCGTTTCTTTGAGACAAAATGATTATTAATATGTAACAGCAGGTTCATAAGAAGCGGGCAGCTGAAACCCGTCAATTGCAAGTTTTGAAACGTCAGTATTGATCTATTGCCTAGTAGACCACGTGTATTTTTATCGACTGTCCGTTTTGTACTGTATTTCAGACGGGCTTTAGCAGTAACCGTAAGTAGGGCGTATTTAAACTAGGTCTTCGGCTTTGGCATTTTCTCACTTGCTCACTCTCCGTAGCGTCGTAGCGAAGTTGGTTTCATAAACAAGCGTGAGATAGCC